ATGTCCATCAGATGAGTGGATAAAGAAGATGTGGTGTGTATATATATATATATATATATATATATATATTCATATTCACAATGGAATACTATGCAGCTATCAAAAGAAATGAAATCTTGCCATTTGTGACGACATGGATGGAACTAGAAGGGTATTATGCTTGGCAAAATAAGTCAATAGGAGAAAGACAACTATCATATGATCTCCCTGATGTGAGGAAGTGGAGAAGCAACATGGGGAGTTTGGGGGATAGGAAAATAATAAATGAAACAAGATGGGATCAGGAGAGAGACAAGCCATAAGAGACTCTTAATCTCACAAAACAAACTGAGGGTTGCCGGGGGGAGGCAGGTAGGAAGAGGGTGGTTGGGTTATGGACATTAGGGAGGGTATGTGTTATGGTGAGTGCTGTGAAGTGTGTAAACCTGGCGATTCACAGACCTGTACCCCTGGGGCTAATAATACATTATATGTTAATAAAAAAATTAAATTTTTTTAAAAAGTTCATAAACGTTTCATATCCATTTCAGTTAATTCTATTCGCAAACTTACTCCATCATGTGAATTAGCCTGCTAAAAAATATGATGCTGCTTCATATTTGTAATTTATCTTCTGTTTAAAATCAGTAACACTGTCCCTTTTCTTTTTCCACATAACTGTCAAAGCAATCCTTGAAGAATGACTCAGGGAAAGACTATCTGAAACTCATTTCAAAAAGGCCAACCGTTGGATCACAGTGTTTCTGTCTAGTCTGAGAATTTGGAGCATCATTGCTAACTATCTGAGCAGAGCAATGCACAACATGCTTTAGTTATTTTCTAGATGAATATCAGTTTAAATTTACCAAACAATTCAGGTCTACAGACCCAATTCATACCTAAAGAGCACCCTAACCACATTCCCTAAGTAAAGGAAAAGAAGATAAAGCAAACAGAAAAACCTAGCTGGTCTTTGATTTTTGTTTTTTAAGATTTATTTATTTTATAGAGAGAGAAGCATGAGTGCCTGCGAGCAAGGACAGGGGCAGAGGGAAGGGGAAGCAGACTCCCCATTGAGGGCAGAGCCCCGTGGGGGACACTATCCCACAACCCTCAGATCATAACCTGAGTCAAAATCAAGAGTTGGTCTTTTAACTGACTGAGCCACCCAGGTGCCCGGGTCTTAGAAGCTGAATAATCTTAAGGGAAGCATCAATAATCTCCAGGAGAAGAGGGTTCATAACGTGCTAAAGAAATTGAAAAAGTTGAATGGTGCTGATGCAAAGTGATGGGGGTGTGGCCTCTGGCAGCCTCACTGGACTGAGTATCCAAAGGCCTCACCCAGACTCTCCCCAAACTAGCTCCACCATGGTGACCGAGTTGCTTCCCTTTCTGAGGCCGAGTAGCTTCCCTTTCTTATCTGTAGAATGATAAAACTGGCCTTGATTCCCAAAGGTCCCATTCAACTATAACCTGTTGAGGCTGTGAGTCTAAAAGAGACTTGCAACGGCTAAAGTAGAAGGAAGAGGCAGATGGTATATTGGGCTCAAGTGCTCTTACCAAGTCGAGCACTAGGAGCCAAGAAAAGGCAAAAGAAAAGTCGACACAATTCTAAAGAAAGTTAACAGCTAATAGCAAAGTTAATTTCCGAAGGTGTAGGAAGTAAAATTGGCACACAAGACAAAGAAATGTGAGGAAAATATGGCAAAAATAAAAGTGTTACTCATGAGTCTGAGTAGAAAAAAGAAAGAGAGTGTCCGATGAGGATTCAGGCCATTGTATATTCATAATACCAAATTCTTAAAAAGAAAATCTATACCTCCTGATAAAAACACTTTTTTAAAAAAAATGTAAACTCATATCATTCTTTATCTATTTGTCTGGGAATTGAGCCAGGCTGGAAAGTTTGGTCTTATATGGCATGTAATAGGGAATCACCATTACATATTGAGGTGACAGGATAAAACACTAGCTGTCGCTACACACTGAATGCTTGTTTCCCCGCAAAATTCCCATGTTCAAATCCTAACCCCCAACAGTTAGTTGGTAGTAGGAGGTGGGGCCTTGATTAGATCATGACAATGGAGTCTTCATGAATGGGAGCCAAGATTCAAACATGAGCTATATGATTCTGGAGCCTCATTTCTGCTTCTTTGAAACAAGTAAGTGTTTCCTATTAACTAAGGTAATTGCTGCAAAAGTAATCTGGTCCACAGGGTCAGGGAGGGTCTTCCTGAGGAAAGGACTTCAGAACTGAGGGTTTTACGTTTTAGCACACCCGCAAAGGCAATTTCTTTGAATCTGAATAGCCACGGCTAGTTCAACCTTTTTTTTTCCTCTAAAGGTTTAATCTGGCCATGACCCCCTCTTTGAAAAACCCAATTTAAAGTCTCGATCCCACATGTTTAGACTTTAGAACTGACACCTGAAGATGAGCAAGAAGTAAACAAGCAGAAAAGGTGAGAAATTTGGGTGGGAAAGTTGCTCCTGGTGATTATCAAATAATACTCGTTACTTTTAGTCACAAAGGCCTTTGCACCATTATCACATACAGGCACCTAAAATTGCCTTAAGTACACTTTTTAAAAATTATTTTAGTAATCCCAAGGGAGTACAGAAGTATCTTTTCACAGAAATTCAGGATTTGACAACCATTTCTATCTAGGCTGTCCTAAAGAAATATTCTCTGAGAATCATTCCTGGATGGCAGAGCTAGGAACCTGGAGATTCTGGTGATGAACCCCTTGCTTCCAAATGGTGTGATCAGGGGAGCCAGGGTAATAGGGTTTTCAAGTTGCTTGGGTCTTCCTTATGGGGAGGATCAATAAATAAAGAGTTAAAGGAAACCACCCTCCTCTGACCTTTCTCCCAGTCACTAGGTGGGAGCTCACTGAGGGAGGGCAGGCAAGATTCTTGGTCCTGGGATGAGGAAGAGGCGCTATAAATTAGCATGGAGCCCATCATGGTCACAGTGGAGCAAAGAGAGCAAATGAAGCAGTTGGCTTTGGCCACTGCTTCACTGAGGAGAAGTCTCCCGCGGGCTATGATTGGCAGGAAGCCTGGATGTGCGTGATGCCTGTGCCGCTGCTGCATCTAGGCAGATTTCCATATGATGTGATGGACAAGGGGGCGTGCATTTTTGTAATGTATGGTATGTATTGAAAGCCAGATCTGGACTAGTTCCAAAATACATTTTGCAATTCTGGGTCTGGGACAGTTTTTATGTTTTGTGCTGCTTCTTCCAGAAACCAAGCCTCCTCTTTCTCAAGGAGAGGAAAAAAGAACATGTCCCTAATTCTAGCCTTAGGGTTCTTTTTCTAAAGGATAAAATGGCCAGTGTCAGCCAAATATTCCTAGAAAACTGTTCCCTTTGCAAGTTATATTTTAATCATAACTTCCGTTACCAATGATGAGTCTAGTAGGGACCTCATGAAGCAGGGCATTATATAATGACACGGTTACCCATAGAGACTCTATGCCTACTTCCCCTGGCCTGCCCCAGAGACAGAACTCAGGATTAGAATACTCATCAGAGGGGAGGAAGGAAGGAAAGGCCACTCCTATTCATTGACACCTGCTTAACAACCGACACTCTCCTACCCTGTTGATCAGAACCCCCATTTCCAGAGAAGGACACCGAGGCCCCTGAGCCTTCACAGGACACCTTAATGTATGCATTAAGAAAGGCAGCCAGACAGCACTATGGAATGTGATCAGAGCTTTCACAGGCCCAGCACAAAGTTTAGAAACATCTCAGGGGGTTCATGAAAGCAGTACAGACAGGACCCGCAGAGTCTGACCTCTCTGAACTTGTCACCTAGCTTGTGAAATGTCTGAGCTCACAAAGGAAGGCCACAGTCTGACATTCCAAGTAGTAACATGTATGTCTCCTCAGCGTAAGCACTCACATCTGAGCAGCTAGCTTGGGACATTCTGAAAGTGACCTAGATTGACACAGGGTGGCCTGAGCAAGAGGACGAAGGGCAGGGGGTGAGGGAGTATTGAGGGCACGTGGAAGGTGAGGCAGCTGGCTGCAGATGGAGCTGGAGTCACCCCACTGCCTTCTGCCAGTGAGGCGAGTTTGGGGAGAAGGTTCATGGAGCCAAGTTTTCCAAAGGAAAACCAAACGGTAGCTTTTAATCATCCTGTTGCTTAATAATGAAGAATAGACATTTATTTGTTTCATTTCCCAAAGATAAATGAATGATTGACCCATCAAACCCCATGGAGCCGAACCTGGCCTCATAGTTTCCTTTGTCTCTAGACCCAGTCTTTTCTTCCTTTTTTCACTAACTTTAATATGTTGGTTATCAACAAGTAACCCAAAGAAAACCTAGCTTATAAAAACTTAAAGTATTAGCAAGCCATGAATGTTAGTTAGGATTACTTTTTTTTTTTAAGTGTGTAACACTTAAATGTAACATTTGTCTTACTTCAACATTTTATTTCCAATTAAAAAACACAGTATGTTTGGTTTTGTTTTTGTTTTCTTTTAAGAGAAAATACACACATATTCTGAAAGGTTGTGCCTTTTTCTTCCCTCTCAGGGCCCAGGGCAGCAGCGCCAACAATAGAAATCAGCATTAGGAACACGGAACTCCCTCATCAATGGGGTCAGAAACATGTTGCGAGTAAATGCTGAAATAATGACTTTTTTGGACATCTTTTTTAATTAGAGCTGAAAGAGTTTAGAAAAAATGATAACCACCTGGCAAGCCAGCTCCTCTTTGAAAGCTGAATTAAAATCAAATGAGAGAAATAATTAGGACAGCTGGAAATAATAAAAACAATAGATACCAGACACATCTTTGACAAAACACAACAAACCAAAGAGTCATTACAATGTAAAATCTTAATTGTGTCATAGCTCACTAAATCTCTCTCCTTTTTCCCTCCTCAGTTCTTGATCACAGTGGAAAAAAAAAAAAAAAAAAAAAAGAGTGTATCAATATGCAAAGCCAAAAGGCAGTAACATTGTTATAGCCTGAATGGGCCCAACAATAAACAGAGGTAGCTGTTGAAGCACATCCTATCTAAATAGACGGGATCCTGTAATTCGAATGAATTACTGTTTCTCCTGTTCTGTCTCTTTGCGGAGAGTGTTCATCTTTACTTCTTGCAAGTTGTTTGAGGACTAAAACCAACTTTTTGATGTATGTATCAAGTCTTAAATTTGTTTTTTTTTTTTTTTCAAATGCGGGTCTTACTTGGATTCTATTGTCCTGATTCAGAATTATTCCCAAACTATTGCTGGCCTCCATAAAGAACAAAAACGAACAACCAACCTCACCTGAGAGGACTTACACCACTCCTCCAAAATGCAGAAGCTTCTGTAGTCACTGCTACTGTAAGTAGCACTTTCTTTTCTATTTTGCCATGATGTGGGGAAGGCTAATATGCTAACAGTGGTTTTCTTTGGGAAATGGAATTTCTGGTCATTTTAATTTGGATTTGCATTCTTTTCTCTGTTTACTAAAATCTTCATACTTTAAAGCCAAACATAATATCATGGAAATTCTTCAATCCTATAAAGGCATTTAAGAGGGGGGAAATGACCCAAAAAGACATTAACAATGTCTATACTGACGGACCTTAAATACAAACGATAGGCAATGGGAATGGAACTCCGAGAAATGAAGTTCGCAGACTTTGCAACTCCATTAAAGTGCAAATCACCTGCGCTGTGAGTTAACTGTAATGTAGGGAAGGTTCCCAGAGCAAATCAGTGCTGTTACTGACTGCACAGAGCGGAGCATATACCTCTGTGTGGATCTGGAAATCAGGTTATCTAGATACTCAATGAATGACATCCTACATGGCCGTGTGAAAGCCACTTAATCTCCTCAGTCTCTTTGCCATCAGAATATCTCCTTTTCCACAGGCGAAGCTTCTGCTTAAAGTTAATGGAAACTGAGAGAATTGGGACATCTCTCCCTTCACTTTTTCTCTCTGTCAAACCAAGATAAAGGTTTTATTCAAACTTTTTTATTTGAAGATGAGCAGCACCTGAATGAAATTTGGTCGTGATCAGAAATCTTAAGAATTAGAAGTTTTCCAGAGACCCACATAAATGATATGATAATGCCTTGAAGAACGAGAGGGGGAAATCATTCTGAACAAAAATAGAGCTATACAAGCAGTCTTCCTTGAAATAAAAAAGGGTTTCTGCATAAACGCCTTTATGAAAATAGTGCCTACCAAGAAGGAAAAAAAAAGTTTAAAAGAAATTTCATTTAAAGAGTTAATCAAAATGATTCAGGTTTTTACATTTTAACACACCGGCAAAGGCAATTTCTTTGAATTTGAATAGTGGTGGCTCTTTCCACCTTTTTTTTAATTTTTCCTCTAGTTTAATCTGGCCATGACCCCTTCTTTGAAAAACCTAATTTAAAGTCTTGCTTCTACATGTTTAAAACTTGGCTTTAATCTCCCACAAACTGTCCAATTTGAAAAGCAAAGGGGCATGAGCAGGAAGCGTTCTGCTTTAAAAAACAAAACAAGACAAAAAACAGCAATTAACTAAAATTAATTAGTAATCTTGTTTGAGTCATCTGATATCTATGAACCACATAATGATGCTCACCAAATATTTGTTCAGTGAATGAGTGAAATGAATAAATGATCAAATCACGTTTTCTCATCCTGTTACTTGATGACTTGCTCGCAACTTCTATGCCCTAGGTGTCTTCTTTTAAACTGTATCAACGGTTCCCCAAACAAGTCAGCCCATGAGCACTGACACGTCAACTCACGCCAACCTGTAACGACATTTTCAAGAGCTTGCCAGTAGTAATGGGAAATAAGTTAGGATAATCTAGTTGGTTTCTCATGAGGCTAAACATACTCCATTTCAAGGCATCTCTGATAGTCTGAGAACAAGTCCTTTATATTTTTTTGAGACAGAAATGTCTTTTCTTTTGTGAAATGATTTTTTTTTTAAAGTAGTCATTGTGGGAAGTTTGAGAATCTTTTCTTGGCATAATATAAAGTTCACAACATTATGTCAGCACCCTTTGTTTGTTTGTTTTGTTTTTTTGTTTTGTTTTTCTAATTTTACTGCCCTGCAAACTCAAAGTCTGAAAACTACTAGCCTCCAGAATATGCATTATTTCAAGTACAAGAAAAAAGAAGCTTTCTCTTTTCCCATCCCCAGATCTATCAGTCTTGGGAGAAGAGAGTCTATCAGCTGTTCCTCTCCATGAAACTTTTCAAACCATTCTATCCCTCACTATTATCCTGCTAAATACAGAGAGGCAGCCTGGTAACCGCTTTCTGTACACTCGCCATCTCTTTTAAGGAGAAATGATGTACTGGACACAGTTCCATTGACTGTGTTTCTCATCGTCTCTTCTAGAAAACTGCCTTGCAACCAGTTCTGCAACAGACATTTAACCGAAGGCCAGCCAATTCATTTTCTAACCAATTACCAACAAGATCCCTTCTCTCAAAATCTGAGCTAATGGGACATAGAGACAGTCTGTGGTGGATACTGAGCCAGAGAGGCCAAGAGGGAAAGTTGGGGCTAATGCAGTCATGCTGAAGCACATGAAGCGAGAGTGAGCAGGAGGAGTGACCAAGAAAAACATGAGAGAGGACTTAAAGAGATAACTGAACTCTTCAGAAGCCATCAGAGCAGCTTCATTTGCTATTTCCAATTCCCAACTCCATTGGGATTCCATGAGTTTCTTATTTAACCCCTTCTTCTGCCATCTCCCTGTTTGTACTTGAGCTAAGGGTTATCTGTTCCATAACTGAAAGGACATTTCTAGAACTGCAAACATGGACTAATTTCATGCATTCTCAGAAGAGGGACTTCCCATTCTTCCTTTGCTATTTTTTCCCCCTAGTGATTTTCTCTTCCTTATTTCTGTAATGCCAGCAATATACAAAACATCAATCATACTTCCTTCTTTGTTCCCTTTCAGCACTGTGCAAAAATATTTTCCATGTATAAGGAAAAGCCCAGCCCTCAGCTCTTCTCACTCTGCATTCACCCCTAGCCGTCTTCACCATAATCTAGGTTTCATCATGTGCCCAGCCCCAGTGGGACCCTCTGCTCGGCCTGCATAACCAGGTGAGGCATAGCTAAGAACCACAGCCCCTGGACCCCACAGAGAGCACATCAGTGACTCCACTGGGTGAAATTTCCCATTATTGTCATTTTTCCATTGAGACACAACCCAGAGAAGAAAAGTGACAATTTAATGTCACACAAGGAAGCAGCAAGGAGAATAACATTTTATTTAGTCTTTTTACCTACTCTAAAAGATAAAATGTGCTCCCCATTCCCTATAACAGGAAACTGAGCCTCACAAGGCTTGCCTACAATCACATAACCAGTAAGAATTGAGGCCTGACTTTGCATGAGACTTATTAAATTCCAGTCTGTGTTCATTTAATAATACATCCTCTGCCTCCAAAGTTTTAGTGTTCAAACCACACTTAAACCCAAATCACATGACTTCTGACTCCTAAACAAGTGCTCGCTTCACTAATTATCCCATAGTTATCCTGGTACAGCTCAGAGAAAAAGGTGCAGAGATGTGGCGTTGGGTGGATGATAAAAAAGGAGGGCAGCTGAGATTTGGCTGATTTTCTTCGCTGGCCTTCATCAAACAAGGACATGATTCAAAAGCCATCATCAGGTTGTGGTCCTGAGTCACTGCCCACAGGGTCCAGCCCTATGTCCAGCCTTAGGGTAGGCAGCCACCAAGGAGGCCGCCAATGATACCCACCCTCTAGTATTCCCATTTGTGTGTGGTCCTCTCCCTCGTGACATCTGAGTTGGTCTAGGTAACCAACAGCATATAACAGAATAATGATACGTCATTTCTGAAAGCAGGTTATTGAAAGAGTGCAACTTCTGTCTTGAGTGATCTTTCTCTCTCTTTGTCTGTTTTGAATCACTCACTCTGCAGGAAGCCAGCTGCCGTGTTATTAGGTTACTTGGGGAGCCTGCAGAGAGGCTCACACGGTGAAGAACTGAAGTGTCCTGCCAGTTGCAGCAAGGAACTGAAGCCTGTCAACAACCACTTAGGTGAATTTAGGAAAGAATCCTCCCCAGCTGAGTGTTCAGATGAGACTGCAGACCTGTCGAACAACTCACAGGCAACCTCATGAGAGTCTGTGCATAAGAACCACCCAACTAAACCGCTCCCAGATGCCTGGCTCACAGGGCGGAAACTGTTGTTTCAAGGTGCTCCATTTGGGTGTAACTTGTGATGCAGCAATAGATAACAAAAATCAAGCCCTGAGATTTTTTCCCAAGTACTAAGCACTTCTCCTACCTTGGTCCACTCAGGTTGTTCCCACTGAGGGAAGAACAATTCTCCTTAGCCTTCCATACACATTTGGGTCAATACACTAATTCCCCCTCTCTGGCTGGGGAGTAAGCTATGTAGCTAATTCACAAATATTTTCCCTTGACATATGTATGTGGTTTCAGACAGTGCATTTTTCAAAAGCCAAGACTGTCTCTCTTCCCTTTGTGCTATCATTTTTATATTCCCTTTAGCTTTTGGGCTCTTTCTCTCACAATAAGTCAATAGAAGCCAGAGAATTTCAAGAGTTTGACTTCTCTCCTGGGCAGAATATTTAAGTCATACATTATTGTTTGTTTTCAGGCAAACCCGTACAATTATGCAACATAAATTCTTTTAAAGCATCTGGGACTTCAATTCAATTTAAAATCCTGTGGGGTTTATTACCAGAATGAATGATTATAAAATATATGCATGCAAATGAAGAGATAAAAAAATTAAAGAGCATATGAAATTTAATGCACACTACTTGTAATTCCAGGCCAAATTGTTGCAAAAGACAGTGGCTATACAATACCATGTAAAAATGTGGTTTATAATAATTTATGACTTGAGAATGTGGTTTTAATATTCTACTGTCATGACTATATATTAGAATCCAGAGTAGAGAATTAGTTTCTGGTGTTAATAGGAGGGGGAAGGGAAGACAGGTTTACCCAAAGCTGTCATCAGTTTTACTGTAAAAATAAGGAACCTGACTTCACCCCAATGGTACAGCATAGTGAAAAGCTTGTAAAGATGGAGGCACTCTGTTTTCCAGTGTTTTTATTCTCAGAGTTCATCTGGGGACAATCTAATTCAATTACTATTTGTTAAGTGTCAAAAATGTGAAAATAAATATATTTGAGACTCTCGGGGAGTAAGAATGGACGGAATCAAGATTAAGCCTTAATACCTAACCTTGTAGACCACATGATCCAGAGAGACAGGCAAGTATATGCATAAAGAATCCAAACCAGAATTGTGTGAACTCTTGCAGCAACCAAATAACAGATTCCCATGCCCAGACCCAGACTCCTGTTCTGATCCATCTTCCAACCACTGCCTGAGTTAGTCACCCAAAATAAAAATTCACATGTTTCTCTCTTCTGCATGAAGTTCTCCATTGCTTAGACAATACAGTCCAGACTCTAGAAGACCCTCAACATTTGGTCTGAAACTACCTTTTCATATTCAGATAACACTCTAGAGAACAATAGGTAAGAAAAAAAAAATGGTATCACTTGAAAAGACTGAGGATTCTAGCTTAACTCTTCAAATAATGTAGGGGCATCCACTGTTTCTTATAGGACTCATCCCTTCCTAATTTTTGCCACCAAAAGAACTGATCTGAAGAATAGAATCAAGACAACCAACCAGCAAGCAGCTGAGGCATTTCTTTGTAAGGACTGGCACAGGAGAAGAAAACAAAAGGATGCATTATTACAGAAGAAATTAACTGATATGAGCATCTCCTTTCCCTAACCCCTCCCACCCCAGTCCTAGTTCCCAAAGAGGAGATCATTGTGCTTCTAAAGGTCTCAGTTCTGTATACTTCATCCAGGAAGAGAAACTGCCCTCGGATCACTCTTGAATATAGAGGGAGTGGTGAGATTCAGAGATAAAGACAACTGTTTGGAATTCATTAGGCTGATGCAGCAAGATCTAACACTATGAAGGCAAGAGTTGAGGAGCCGTAGGATGAGAAGGATTTTTCTTTGGATCTGACTTTTTCAGTAGGTCGGTAGTTCATGCATGATGTGGAAACAAGCTATTCTTTCATCGCCATGGTAAGCCTGTAAAAACAGAGCAGATGTGGAGCCCTGAGCAGTCAGTGGGGAGCAAAATGCTTGCCTGAACTCCCAGCTTAGTGAAGAAATCAACCCCAACAGCGCCACCGGGTAGAAAGAGGAGGAGTCAAGACAGCAGCACCATGGACTGGTGATGGGCATCTTTTTCACTGTGCTCCAGGAGCACCAAATAAAGCTAAATTCTTGTATAATCTCAAAGATAGAGAAAAGATTTCAGTCTCCTGCCAGTCAAATGATAGGGAACTCAGAGCAATTTATAGTTTATTTAGAGATTTAAGGAATGCACTTTATATCATGTCCTAAAATCTTTATATACTTGACCTAGTTCAGGGTTATCCCCAGGTAATAATGCTCAGACCAGTGTGTTTCCAGATTTCTATAGATCCTTTTGCATGCCAAACCCCACATGCATGGGTCTACAAAGGAAACCACATTACACTTAATGGAAAAAACCATTTCCCTATTCTTTCTTCCTTATTTCTGTAGACCAGAGGCTAAATCCAGCCTGCTGCCTGTTTTTGAATGGTATTAAGCTAAATATGGTTTTTATATTTTTTAAAATGGTTAGAAAAAGCAAAACAAGACTAATAGTTTGTGACACGGGAAAATTACATAAAATTCAAATATCTAGTCCCTGAATAGGAAGTCTTATTGAAACACCCATGACCTTGTTTGCCTTGTATTACCTATGCTTGCTTTCACTACAATGGCAGAGTTGTGTAGTTAGACCCTACGGTCCACATCAGCTAAAGCACTTATCATCTTATTATGCATTCCTGGTCCTTTACAGAAAAAGTTTGCTGACCCCTGCTTTGCATATGTGGAGAGTAACAATATTTAGGAGAGAGTATGACATACTTTATTAGGAAACCAACTGCCTGATCGACAGACAGGAAGCAGATTCTAGCCCTTGTCCCAAGACTTGCCCTCTGTCCCGTCCTAAGTAGGGAAAAGGGCAATGGGCCCCAAATTTTCTGTCCATGTAAGGACTCAGAACAATGGAACAGAAAGGTAAACAATATGCAAAGAAACCAGGGAGGCACTAGAAACTTTGCCAATCTGGGCTTCTACCAGCTACATTATGACAACATGCCCAAATGAAGAAGGTGAGCATGGGGAGGGGAGCAGGTCAGACAGCCTGAGCTGATAAAGGAGCTCCCCAGCTTCCAGTCGTGAAGGCCCACTTCCCTCCTTGCCACAGGGTGGAAGTGAAGAGGAGGAACAGGTTTAGATGCCCTAAATGACATCTTGACTGAAAAAAGGTAGAGCATGACAACAGGAAAAGCAGCCTCCTCTCAGGTGTCCAGAGCATACTTCCCAGACCTGAAATAAGGAGAATTCCAATCAAGCATGCCTTCAGAGCGGGGTGAACTTGGTGTCCTAACTTTGTTGATTTTCCTCAGTATTTATAGTCAACTGAAAAAGCAGCTATTTTATATATTGAGCAGGGAGGGACAAAAAAAATAATCTGGCAACTAAAATATATGCCTCAAGGAACTGGGTTTTTTAAAGATTTATTTATTATTTGAGAGAGAGGGAGAGAGAGAATAAGCAGAAGGAGCAGAAGGAGAGGAAGAGAGAATTCCAAGCAGACTCCACACTGAGTGTGGAGCCCGATGAGGGTTTCAATCTAACAAACAGAGATCACGACCTGAGCTGAAACCAAGTTGGATGCTTACCCAATTGAGCCAACCCGGCACCCCGCAAGGAACTGTTTCAAACCATTTTTTTAAAAAGATTTTATGTATTTATTTGAGAGAGAGAGAACACGCACAAGAGCAAGAGAGCAGGTGATCAGGAGGCAGAGAGGGAAAAGCAGACGTCCCCCTGAGCAGCAAGCCCACCTCAGGGCTGGATTCCAGACTCTGGGATCAGGACCTAAGCCAAAGGCAGACACTTAACTGACAGAGCTACCCAGGTGCCCCTCAAACCAGTTGTTTTTTTTTTTTTTTAAGTTTTCCTTTTTAGCTGAAAATATTAGAAATTGATATGAATTCTCACTAATGTCATTTTTTCATACTCCTCTCCTGACCACCTTTTGTTTCAAATTGAATTAGGCAAGCTGCTGATTCAGAACAACACCTAATTGTTTTTGTAATCCTTTCATTCCACAAACATTTATGAAGGACTTATTAGGCACAAGACACTGTGCCAAGCATACGTGGGTGAAAACAAAATGAATAAAATAAAGTCTTAACCCCAAAGAGATTTGCAATGTAGTAAGAGAGATATAAAATAAGATTACAAATAACCAATATTTAGTACTGGATGGAAACCATATGGGTATGTGTGCCTCTGAAACATAAATGTACTGAGATATTTGGGTGAAAAGCTGAGCCTGGACACCGCAAAACAGAATGGCCCTTGCCCTCAGCTATCAGCGTGCACTTGTGAAAGGGGGTTTCAGAGCCAATTGCCTAGATCAGGGTTTTTCAAAGCGAGGTTGGAAGTGCGCCCCCATCAGAATAACACGTGACACTTGCAAAAAGGCACCCTGGTCTCTCCCTATTCTGCCAAATCAGAATTTCCAAGGCAGGACCCGGAGCCCGGACCCAGTAACAAGCTCCTTGGGTAGTTCCTAGGACACTGTCCAGCTTGAGACAGAAACTGGATGAGTGGCTCTTAAACACTGCTGTTCATGGAATTACCTAGACCCCAAACCTATGAAATCCAAGAATCTGGGAGATGGGTCTCAGGCAGCGACAGTTTGCAATGTTCTCCAGGTGATCCATCTTGCCACCAAGTTTGAGGGCCAGTCTTCTAGAAACACTGCTCCCAAAACTTTACACAAAGACGACTATGCTCCATTTCAAGGAAAAAAAAAATTTCTTCCTTTTCATTGATGCGTCTAAGTAGACACTGAGTAGCCATTTCTTCCTGTTTTCTAATAGATCCTACAAGGTCTTAACTTCATAGTCCAAACCTGATCCATTAATGTAAGAGTCTTGCATGCGCTTGTCAGGCACCGTGGGAAGAATTAGAGAGAAAAGATGAAAAAGCAGTTCAGCAAAGGTGATAGACAAGAAACAGCATGAAAAATGGTAACATTCAGTGTGTCCAAGGGGCTTCAGGGACACAGAAGCACCTGACCAGCCAGGAATTGGGGGTGCCAATGGCAAGCTGGGAGGGAAGGTCACGGCAAGTGTCCTCAGGGAAGGAAACGCTTATGTTGCGTTGGATAAGGAGAAATTTGCCTCACAGAGAAGGAAGAAGTGGCCAGCCCAGCAGACATCAACTGCAAAGGCAGAGTAATAGAGTAGTAGCTGAGGTGTTCAGAACTTCTGGAGTATGATATAGCTGTGAAGTGTCCCCAGCCTAAAAGATGACTTGGGCCATGCTACCAGTTCCCTCAGGGTCAAGAAAATCAATGCTCTGGCCTAGTGAGTCTTAATCCCAGCTATAGAATAGAAGCAGTTGGGATATTTTAAAAGAAGTCCAGGCCATCCCCCCAGAGATACTGATTTCATAAGACTCGGTCACCTCAATTTTTAAACAGGCTCCTTGTGGATTCTAGGAGCCAGAATTGAGAGTCACAGGTAGACTCTCAGTAAGCAGAAAACTGGCCTTGACCCTTGGCTATGCTGGCTGGAGTAGGCTAGGGCTGGAGTCAGCAGGCTGCCCCCTTGCCTGGCTCTCCCCACCTGTTTGCCTTCCTTCCAGTCCAGGCATGTGGTCACTTTATTGCCTTCAAAGGGGAGAAGCCCAGGCTTTGGAGTTGCTATGCCGGCCATTCACCTTGCACAAAGGGGTTGAGTGAGTTCTGGCCACTCCCAGGTACTCAAGCTGCCACACCTGCATTCCTGCATTCCTGCGAGCATTTCTACAAGCACACCATCCTTCCTGGTGGGGGGTGGGGGGGCTATGTTGGACATAGGTGGATGCCCTGTAGCGCAGTAGACCTTAGAGGTATCCCCAAGGAATAGATGTGAGTATAAATTCATGAATTCCGCCATAGCGCAGAACAGAATTTCTCTCATTAAATTCAGTGAAAGGAACTGAAACATTGTAATCAGATGCTTAATGAAAATAACGGAAGATGTAAGGAGGAATGGAAACAGTGAAACCCACATGAGAGGGATGCTGGGCGGTCAGCTCCATTTACACACCAGCTGAGTGACTCCTAGGTCACTGCGGCCAGACAGCATGTGATTCAGATCTATGCTTGAGCAGAAGAACAAACTGCTACACGTCATAAATCTTCTGGGTCATCTGCAAATAGTTGAAACCGGGAATGTTAAATCCATGAATGCCAAGGGTGCATTCATATATCAAAATGAACATTTGTGCAGACA